TTTTTTGGTTGCTGAGTAATATTCCATTGTATATATGTGCCACATCTTTTTAATCCAGTCATCTACTTTGGGCATCTGGGTGCAGCTCTTGATTCTTAACTAGCGAAGACAGGGGCTCCCTCAGCAGCCCCCTTGTTTTCACAGAACAGCTATTGCAACACACCTGCTCAAACAGGTGTTCTCAGGCATAGGTTTCGTTTCCCTTTTGACTAAGATCTAGTTCTTTTTCTAGATCCCTGAGGTTGCAAGAGAATCTCTGGACAAGTCTATGCTGACTATGCACAGGAGATGATGTGTAGGGACCTCCGCCCCGCCCCCCTCCCCTGCCCACCGCCAGCAGGGTCTTGTCACCTCCTGATTGAAGGAGTTTCGAAGGTGACGGTCCGCTAAGCTCACACTGCACTGAAGTGGTTGACTCCGAAGCTGAGAGAGCTGGAAGGAAGCCGGCAGGAGCAGCTGCAGGGCGGCGTGCGGATGTGCTGAATGTGTAAACCGTGTCTTTGCTTAAAAATGAGCCAACCCAGACACTCTGGCTTCAAAGTACTCAACCTCAAACAGCCGCAGGAAGCAGTCTGCAGGGGCCCCCGACCAGACCAGCCGGGGGGCACAGGGCCTGCTCCCCAGGTGGCGGGAGGCTGCGGGCAGGAACGCAACACGGAGCTTGCGGGGGGGCAGGGGGCAGGGGGCTTGGCCTGCACTGAGCCAGAGGCTGGAGAGAAAATAACGAGGCAGGGAATGGGGAGGAGGAGTGTGCTCGCGGATCTAGCAGCCAAGGAAGCGTGAGGCCTAGTACCCACCGAAGTGCCACTCCGGGCCCTGGGGCGTCACCATGAGCACACAGAACAGTCAGCCTTCTAGCTCCGGTGAAGCTCCACTCTTAAGGCAGAGGCCACAGGTGAGCCTGCCAAGGACACAGTGGACCAATTTCGAAGGACACAGGTGCCCAGAGAGTACTAGACAAGGCCCAGGGCACGGACGTGCTGGGGTTGGGGGAGTTGCTGCTGGGAAAGGATGCCAGGGCAGGACTCTCTTACCATGTCAGAGCTGGGCAGCGACGTGGGCAGCGTGAGGGTGCCTGCTTGGACACTGAGGAGGGCGCCGAGTGAAAGGGAAAAGCCTGTGTCCTCCCAGACCTGCACACAGAAGCACGCGGATGGGTACTAAACTGGGCACAGCATCTGGGCAATGGCCTGCGAGTCAGAGCTAAAAGGAAGCAAGCCATCAAGAAAGGATCTGGAGGAAGCTCGATCCTGCCGCTGTGCCAAGGAAGCCAGGCTGGAAGGCTGGGTACCATGTGAGTCCCCACGTGCACAACCTGAAAAGGCAGAACTGTGGAGACAGTGGAGGGGTGAGGCACTGCCAGGGCTTGGGGGAGGGGGAAGGGGTGGGCAGGGAGAGCGTGGAGAAGTGGGCAGGGAGAGCGCAGAGAATTTTGAGGGCAACGAAATGTCGGTGTATGATACTATCAAGGTGGACGCAGGTCATTATACACCTGAACACCCAATTCACAGAATGTGAAGGAGTGAACCCCCAAAGAATACGGGTGAGGATGGAGTGTGCAGGTAGGCGCATCACTTGTGACGCCTGTACCCCCAATGGGGGATGTTGATCGTGGGGGATGTGTGGGGGTAAGGGGCCTATTCTTCTACCTTATGCACAACTTTGTTGCGAACCTAAAATGGCCTAAAACATAAAATCTTAATAAAAGGATGAAAAACAAAGTCAAGTGAAAAGCCAAACACTAGTGCAAAGGTGTGAGGCGCTGGGGAGACAGGTGCTCAGCAAGGTGGGTGCTGTAGCTGGAGAGTGATGGGAGGACAGAGCTGAGGTCACGCAACTGGGGTCCTCCCGCCTGTGAAGACAGACACGCAGGAAGAAGCCACAGGGCCCGAGGAGGGGGCGACGCCAAGGGTTGAGGGTCACATCAGAAGCAAGGGAGGGGCAGGGGTGGAGGCCACCCAGTCTCAGAAAGCATGCAGCCCAGCTGACTGTGGTTTCAGAATTCCAGCCTCAGAATGTGAGGGAACACATTTCTGTTGTTTTAAGACCCCCCCTTTTTTTCTTTGTTCCAGAAGCCCCAACAAATGGATGCCCTTACTTCCCAGTTCAGACACCCACATGGTGCTGGCTTCTTGGGACCCCCTCAGGCCTCAGGTGGGGGTGCTGCAAAGGAGACCCAGCCCAACACAAGCCTGGCATAGAGGCAGCATTCAATTATTACTTCACAGGTAAACTTTTCAGGACTTAATTAGTCGGCATATTGGGGGTACATAGCAGCCTCCAAAATAGACGTGACTGGGCCCTGGGACCGACCTTCCGTAGGATAAAGGTCTCTGTGGATGTAAGTCAGTAAGGATTTTGAGGTTCCATCACTCTAGACTAACTGCTTAAGCAATAAATCCAATGACAGTGTCCTTACGAGACAGGAGAGGAGACACAGACGCAGAGCAGAAGGTGAGGTGAGGACAGGGCAGGTGGGAGTGGCCTTGAGCCCACGGAGCTGCAGGAAGCAGGTGACGGCCACCTGGAGCTGGAGGAGTGGGGGCAGGCGCTCCCCTGACGCCAGGAACAGAGCGAAGCCCTGCTAGCACCTTGACTCAGGGCTCCGGACTGCAGAAGCGTGAGGGAGTAAATTTCTGTGGTGTGAAGTCACCCAGTTTGTGGTAATTTATTGCACAAGTTTCGGAAAACGAACAGACTTAACTGAAGGGCAAGCCAGCCCTGGTGATGCCAGAAGTCACGGCATGAGAGAGACTCTGGGTCGCCCCTGGGTTTGGGCGGGACGTGGGCTGGGGAGGGTTTGACGCTAAGAAGGGCCTGCTGTGTTAGAGCTGACAAGCTGGAGATGGAACTCGGTAAGGGAAGCTGTTGGCCAAGCCTGGGTGTTCTGGCTCCTTCTGGTCTGGCTCCAGGTTGTTGACAGTCCTTTGTTATTTGTCCAACCCTCGCTCGTGTCCCTGATGAAAACTCTTTAATGAAGAGATCCCCGTTGAGAGACACGGTCTAGTATGGGCCCGTCTCAGGGGGACGTTCTCCTTACAAAGGCGTTTCTTCTGTTTTCCTGGATGGTTCAGTCCCTCATCCACCAGGCAGATGGTTTACTTCAGCTTCCTGGATAACTGGCAGGGCGCTGCAGGGCCCTTACCTAGCCCAGCGCCTTTTTGCAGAGACGGCAGCCAGCGCTGGCTGACTTCCAGGTGAGCTCCATTTGCAACAAGATGGCTCGGACCAAGGCCGGGAAACTTCCTGAAGGTCTACCCAGCGTCCTGCACACTCACAACCAAGTCAGCACGTGAGGGCGGAGTTCTTGCCCGCCACCTTCCTGATTCACAGCTGTTTTTCTGGACTGAGGGTTCTTAGGTCTAAATGAAAGTGTGAGCTATGGAGGAGAGATGAAGAAACTGAGGAGGCTGACAGCCTTGTAAGGGGACAGCCCCCCCCCCGCCCCCAATGGAGCCTTTGTTTGGGGGAGAACTCCAGAGATTGCTAGGCCAGGTCTGGAAGGTTCCTCAATGGAGATTTTAGCTCCACAAACACCACGTGAACACAAAGGCCAGGAACTATCACCACCTGGAGCTAGTGTATGGGGCTCTTTCCCATGCACCTGCTCTGGGATAACCTCCCAGCTCCGTGCCCGGACCAACCAGGCCTGGATGAAGGGAGTGAGGATGCGGCACCTGACCCCAGGGGACCAGCAGCCAATCAGCTGTTCCTCTTGAGAATTCCTCTGCTGGGTTGGGTGCTGGTCAGGAGGCTGCCAGCCTCCAAGCCTCCCCCCGGCCCTCCTCTCCTCACACCAAGGTGGCTCCTTGGCTCCTCTGCACTGTCCAGCCTTTGCTCTGGCAGTGGGACTGTGCTAACCCATGCGCAAGCCGGCCACAAGTACTGCCAGAAGCAGCCCTGACACAAGACCACAACTCCAGGAAAAAGATCAGCGTCCCCAGCCCGTAATTAGGGTAACTGTTTTCTAGGGTTTCCCAGCAGAACTGAGGTTCCACCACCCATGGTGGTAACTCGCTCTAATGCCCCTTTATTGATTTCCTTCTCCTCTTATCTCACTTCCTCAGCCCGTTACAGTTTGTGAGACCCCTTCCAAATAAACTAGTACCTGTGATTCTTTTGCCAGGCTCTCAGAACGGCCCAAACTGAGCCAGCACTGGGTATATGAGGCCTCGTACTGGAGACACAAAGCCAAGCCAAAGGAAAGGTGAGGGTAAGAAGTCAATTGTGAGGGCTCACGTCGCCCCTGGATAGGGAGATTGGGAGATGGAGGTCACCAGGTACCCGAGGAATTGAGGGAATCTGTCCCCACGCTTCGTCCCTTTCCCCGTGCTGTGAGTTTTCTGTTCCTTATAGCCTAAAGTCTTCATGTGAGCTAACTGTGTACAACTCATATAAACTGGGTCCTTAGCGTTTTACCTGCTACACCAAGAGGGTTGCTACATTTCGTAATGAAAAATTCAGGATGCTCATTCAATCCGGGACATACTCTTAACTAAAAGTGCATTTGTTTTCTGAAGTTAAAATGTAACTTCATGTGGGCCCTCCCTGGTGGCGCAGAGGGTTCAAGCACAGCACAGAGAAGCTAAAACCACTTCCGCATGAGTTCGATCCCTGCCTGCCCGGGAGGTGACCACATGAGTTCGATCCCTGCCCCGGAGGTGACCACATGGCACTGCAGACCTCTCTTGCCCCACCTGCTGCTCCCCTCAGCAGTGTACTTCAGCAGTCGGCCTTTTCTGCTCCCCACTCTGTCTCTGGTGAATCCTCTCAACACCCCTGCTCCTCTGGCCTGTACCCCAGTTCTGTGTGCACAAATAAATAAATCCTTAAAAAAAAATGTAACTGCATATGCTGAATTTCTTGTCCTCTAAGGTGAGGAGACAGAGCAGTGGATGAGCTCACCAGTCTGGCTGCTGCTGAGAGGTGGGACTTGGCAGTGCACCAGGCAGCGAAACTCCAGAGGTGTGTCTGAACTGGGTACAGGCCAGGGGTGCAGGGCATCCCTGTGGGCTGCCCTGGCAGGCACTTGACTGGCTTGAGGTCACTTACCAGGAGGGACCCTGTATCGATAGCAAAGGAGTCAGTCCTTTATAAATCTGTCACTTGTTTTTTCATGGCCCAGCAGCGGGAAACAGCGTTTTGGTGTTTGACTCCAGTTGGGGACTGTTTAAGGCAAGATAGATGGGCTTGGGGTAGAGGGGCGGGAGGGCAGTGCCCTGTGGGCACCAGAGCTTGTCCAGGCAGAAGATGTGTGGGCTTCCCCATACACTTGCTGAGGGTCACTGATAACAACCACCTAGCTTACCAGGGACAGCTACTTTACACCTGTTTTCTTAGAGGCTCACCTTGTTGGGCAAGTCATTTAAAAGATTCTTTTAAAAAAAGATGTTTTTATTTATGCATAGAGAACTGGGTATAGGCCAGAGGTGCAGGGGCAGTGAGAGGCTTCCCCAAGACAGAGTGGGGAGCAGAACAGGCAGGCTGAGGGGAGCAGTGGGCAAGACAGGGGAGGTCTGCTGCGCCATGTAGATCAGCTCCGGGGTTGGGGATCAAACTTGTGCTGAAGTGTCTGCAGCTAGCTTCCTAGTGCTGTGATTTAACCCTTTGTGCCACCAGGGAGGGTCCAGGCATATCATTTTTTTAAACAAGTTTTATTACATTAGTAATTCCACAGAAACACACTGGATAGGCTTGGCCGACCTCCATGTGGAGCTTCTGGCTTCCCTGGGTCTCATCTGGTCTGTGACCCATGCTAACATGCTAACATGTGCTACAACCAGAAGTTTCCTAGGAGTATCCCTTTCATTGTTATAAGACTTCACCAACACCTTCCTTTCAAGGACAGCGTGCAGAGTGCTTGCAAATAAATAAAATACACATGACTAGTAATGAGGGCCACTAACTGCTTCCAGCTGCCAGAAAGTATTTGATGCTTCTGATCCAGTGGCCCTTGTCATGCCAGCCAGTTGTGCCAAGGCCTGTACCAGTTGTCTGTGCTGTGGCCGGCAAAATGCTCCAAGTCACCAGGCTGCCAGTTGATGGTGTCAGTGGAAAATACGGGCAATTGTAGCTTAGGTGTATGTAAAGCAAGTGTGGGAAGCAGAAGCTAAGCAGTGCTACCTGGGAGCTTGAAGAGAGGTCTGAGTGCTCTTGCTACTGGGTGTTGCCATTTATCATATGATGTAATCTACTTGCTTACTGGATTGTTGGGAAAGCTTTTTATATTTTTGAGAGCCCTTCCAGCCATAACAGGCTCAAAAACATTTGCATGCATATTTAATGGGAGCCTGAACACCACATTTCTGTTTCTCAAGAACGTTGATGATGAACATGTACCTAGCACAAAATGTTGATGTTTGCCAAGACACTACAGGGAGTCGTCACCTACTACCAATCTGCCCGAGAAGCATCAACAGCCTCTGCAGAAGGTGGCCATTATTTTTAGGAGATGAGGCCCAAAGAGGATCGCTTACCAGGGCAGCTTCAGGGGGTGTTTACAGACCATTCTGTCTAATGTGACTTTTTGTTCATATCAAATGATTGTTCTTTCAATTCAATCTTGCTCATTACTTGGACAAAGTTCTTGAAGAGACATTTCTTTGAGGAGGAGATACGAAAACACAGGAAAACATGCTTAACATTACTTTGATGCCAATCCAAACCACAGTGAGGTATCTGTGTGGAGGATGCCAAATATGTAAATATATACAATAACAAGTGTCAGCAAGGAGGTGGAGAAATTGGAACCGTATGCATTGCAGATGGGAGAGTAACATGGCACAGTCCTCATGGAAAATGGTAAGCTGGTGTCTTAACCAATGAAACACAGAGTTACCCTAAGATCCAACAGTTGCACTTCTAGGTATAAACTCAGAAGAGTTGAAATCAGGAGCTGGAATAAGTATTCACACGAGCCTTGTTTACAATAATCAAAAAGTTAAATAGGGGCCTCCCTGGTGGCCTAGTCTTAAACTGTCGCAAATGCCCACTTTGACAGCTGGCCTGAGTTCGAACCTCAGCCAGGGAGTTCCATCCCCATGGTGCGCAGACCTCTCCTGTCTCCCCACTGCTCCCCCCAGCAGTGTATTTCAGTAGAGCTGTCTGTTCTGCTCCCCACTTTGTCTCTGGTGAATCCTCTCACCCCTTCCCACACCACTGGCCTAGATCCCAATTATTCTATTCAAAAATACATACATAAAATCTTAAAAAACAGTCAGAGAACCCCAATGTTCATCAGTGAATGGATGGATAAACAAAACGTGGCACTTTCAGACTATTATCCTGCTTTATTTTTATTTTTTACATCATTCTTCATTTTGTGCATTTTTCATCTCAGTTGTAATCCGCGTGGACTTCCCACCACCAGTTCATCCATGTGCCATCACCACAGTCCCGTGTGCTCCCAGTTTTGATCCTATTCCCCTCTCTACCCCTGTAAAATGTCTCTGGTTTATAGTTCACTGTTTTTCATTTTTACTTTATTACAATTGATTTTTTTTTCCTGATCCCTTATGCTCCTGCTATGAGTGAAACCATCCGGTATTTTTCTCTTTCTTTCTGGCTTATTTCACTAAGTATGATCCCTTTCAGCTCCATCCATGTTGCTGCAAAAGGCATGAGTTTATTTTTTTTGATTGCTGAGTAAGATACCACATTTTCTTAATTCAGTCATCTATTTTTGGGCATTAGTGTTGATTCCATGTCTTCTCTCGTAAAGAGAGCAGCAGTAAACATGGGGATGCAGGTATCTTCTTGAGCCAGCCAGTGTTTTTGTGTCCTTTGGGTAGATATCTAGGAGTGGGATTGTTGGGTCATATGGAAACTCCATTTTTAGCAGTTTGAGAAACCTCAAGCAGCTTTCAATAGTGGCTGTACTCATTTGCGTTCCCACCAGCAGTGCAGGAGAGTTCCTTTTCTCCACATCCTCGCCAACATTTGATTGTTGCTAGTTGTTTTAAGATGTGCCATTCTCACGGGGGTGAGATGGTATCTCATTGTGGTTTTAATTTACATTTCCCTTACTAGTGATGCTGAACACTTTTTCATATCCCTGTTGATCATCTGCATTTCCTCTTTGGAGAACTGTCTTTTTAGCTCTTCTGCCCATTCTTTTTATGGGGAGGTTGTTCACTTTATTTTTGTTCAGTTTCACTAGCTCTTTGTATCTTTGTGATCAGTCCTTTGTCGTTAGTGTTGTGTACAAAAATTTTCTCCCAGTCAATGGGATGTCTGTCTAGCTTGTTTATTTTTTTGAAGAACCAACTTTTGGTTTCATTGATTTTTTGGATTGTTTTCTTAACTTCTATTTCCTTTATTTCTGCTTTGACTTTTATTATTTCCTGTCTTCTACTGACTTTTTTCTTTTCTTTTCTTTT